TTGCAGTCCCACCAGCAGTGTAAAAGTGTTCCCTTCTCTCCACATCCACACCAGCATCTGCAGTTTTGAGATTTTGTGATGTGGGCCATTCTTACTGGGGTTAGATGGTATCTCAGGGTGGTTTTGATTTGCATTTCTCTAATAATTAGGGATGATGAGCATTTTTTCATATGTTCATTTGCCATTTGTCTTCTTTAGAGAAAGTTCTATTCATGTCTCTTATCCATTGATATATGGGATTGTTGGCTTTTTTCGTGTGTATTAATTTGAGTTCTCTATAGATCCTAGTTATCAAGCTTTTGTCTGATTCAAAATATGCAAATATACTTTCCCATTGTGTAGGTTGTCTATTTGCTTTTGTTGTTGTCTCCTTAGCTGTACAGAAGGTTTTCAGTTTAATTAAGTCCCATTTGTTTATTCTTGTTGTTGTTGCAGTTGCCACGGCAGTCTTCTTCATGAAGTCTTTCCCTAGGCCAATATCTTCCAGTGTTTTTCCTGTACTTTCTTTGAGGATTTTTATTGTTTTAGGCCTTAAATTTAAGTCCTTTATCCATCTTTAATCAATTTTTGTGAGTGGGGAAAGGTGTGGGTCCAGGTTCAGTCTTTTACATGTGGATATCCAGTTCTCCCAGCACCATTTATTGAATGAGAGTCTCTCCCCCAAGGTATGTTTTTGTTTGGTGTACCTGTGATATTTTGATAAAGCATACAAGGTGCACTGACCAAATCTGGATAATTGGGACATCCATCACTTCAAACATCTGTCATTTCTTTACATTGGGAGCATTCCAAATCTTGTAGCTATTTGGAAAAATACAATAAATTATTAACTATAATGGCCCTATTGTACTGTTGAATGCTGGGTCTTATTCTTCTAACTGACTCTGTTTATGCCATTAATCTCTTCATCTCCCACCTCCTTGCCCAGCCTTGGGTAACCATCCAAGGGATCAATTTCTAGCTTCTGCCTATGAGTGAGAACTTGTGCCTGGCTTGTGTCACGTAGCATAATGTTCTCCAGGTTCCATAAATATTTTTGAGGGACGACTAAACACAAGTGTTGAGCTGACCCTTGTTCTAGAAAGTATGTGTAATGCCCCTGTCCAGGGGACCTGGGATGTGGTTGCCTTAGTGTGCGGACTCCAGGCCAGAGATGAGTCTCCCTTGTGTTGGGGGCAGGTGGGGATTTGCTCCTGGGTGGGGCCAGGCGCCCCATAAGCTGCCTGCCTCTCCTTTGGCCCCTCAAGCTCTTCCTGTGCAATATCTATTAAGGCCACGTGCTGGCTTTTAGCTCACTGCCACCTCCTCCTCCTCCTCTGCCTTCTCCTTTCCCTCTTTCTCTCTCTCTTCCCCCCTCCCTCTTCCTCCTCTCTCTTCCTCTCTCTCTTCCCTCCTCCTCCCCTCTCCCTCCTTCCCCTTTTCCTTCCTCTTTCTTCTTTCCCCTTCCTCCCTCCTCCACCCGTGCCCCACTGGGCTCATCTCAGACACCTTATTCACAGGTCATTGTGCTGTCAATCTTAGAATGCTCATAAGACTGTTTTTCTGAGTTAAGAGACATAAATCTGGGTCTTTAGTTCATCTTACTGCTCAATTTAAAGATAGATATCCTCCTGATGACATTATTTTTAGTTCTGTTTGGTCCATTGTATCTTTTAGTAAAATGCTTACCTTTGTTTTTTCCATTTAAAAAACTTTATCTTGTTGTGAAATAAGATATACCTATGTAAAAATGTACAAACATAAATACACACTTTATGGCTCAATTATGAAAGAAATGCACATGTGGCTTCCACTGGGTCAGGAGCCCCCGTTGCCCACACTCCGGTACTGTCCTACCCTCCTCTGTCCTCATGAGCCACTACTGTGACCATCAGCATCATGATGTCCTTGCTTTTCTTTATGGTTTGCATTATATGTGCATTTCTTGAATAAAATGGCTAATTTTGCTCGAGTTTGAATTTACATAAATGGAATTAATACTGTGTACATTCTTACTTCTTTTGCTGAATATAAGTGTGTGAAATTTACTTGTGTATAGCTGCATTTTAGCTTTAGAGCTGAGTGGGGTTTAGAGGTGACAGTGTGGTTTACTCACCCACGGGTGTCTGTGGTCGGAGCTGTCCCCACACTGGCTCAGTGCTCCTGTGCACGTGTCTTCTTCTTCCCACATAGGGGGGTCCTGGGTCTCAGGAATGTATCTTCAGCTCTCCTGGGTGGTGCAAACTGTGTCCCAGAACAGCTGAGCTGTCATCTTGGTAGCTGGGCCTGTGTGTGGACTCTTGCCATGCTACCTCCTCTGTCCTGCTGGGGATAGCCAGAGGCTTTTATTGCCCTACCCTCCTTGCTGATAAGGTTTGTGGACTTCAGACATCCTGTGGTTTCACATGACATGTAGGGGCTCCCTGCTCTGTCACCAGGCTATCTGCCCTTCTCTTACTTGTGTGTAGAAGTTACTTTCTATTGTCCTAATGTGTGCTCTTTGCTGCAGGATGACGTGATGATGCCTCAGAGGGTGAGACTGCAGCATGCCGCTGCCCTCCAGCACCCAACAAGCGTAAGTCCTCACCTCCTTTTCTGTCTTGCTACCACCTTTTGATGAAATTATCAGGATGGTTTTTTAAATGAAGACGTACTTTTCTTTAGTAAGAAAAGTACTATGGTAAGACTGCCAAGTCACAGAGAATGACTTGCAGCTGGTATGCCTCTAAATGCTGTGTGTTGTCCTTTGAAGAACAACATGCCTCTTTTTTGGATAGCACTTCTTTATTAAAATGGGCACACAGGGTTTTGTTAGCTTTTTTTTTTGGCAGCTTTTGGCCGGGGCCGGGTTTGAACCCACCACCTCCGGTATATGGGGCCGGTGCCCTACTCCTTTGAGCCACAGGCACTGCCCTGTTCGTTTATTTTTAATCAGCATTTTCAAGAGCACCTTAGACATGAAAACAGGCTGAGAGCTGTAGTGTGTCAGTATAAAAAAATTCTTTTTCTTATTTAGATACCCTCCAGTTACGTCTCTGCACGTGTGAATGGGTCATCATGTCCCCACCCCCAGCCAGGCTGTCGGGACAGGCTGTCCCTGAGCATGTGGGTGGGCATTTTCTTCTGCAGATACCCTCCCCTACAGGTAGGAGCCATGGCGCCACCATCACAGCCTGGTGGCAGCCACCCTGTGGCTCCTGACAGCTCAGAACTTTCCACTAAATTCTTAGAAGAAACCTTTGAATTATAATGGTAATCCCCTAGTTCAGACACGGAAAAATCCATGAGCTGACCCAGCACTATAGTGTGCATTTGGGTACGCTGCTGCTCACCCCGGGGTGGCCCCTTGGTCATGCTGCTCTCCCCAGTGGCATGCCCAGTATGGTGTCCATGAGTGTATGTGTTTACATGGTCTGGTCCTGTAAGCAGATGGGGTTCCCCAAAGTGTTGGGAGCCTGACTGCCTCAGGTGTGTCTCTCAGATACATATCTCAGGTTACATATCTCAAGTGCATATCTCAGGTTGCTTGTCTCAGATTGCGTGTCTCAGGTGCATGTCTCAGGTACATGCACCTGAGATATATAACCTGAGACATGTGTGTCTCAGGTTTGTGCCTCAGATATGTGTCTCAGATTGTGTGTCTCAGGTACATGTCTTAGGTTGTATGTCTCAGGTGTGTGTCTCAGATTGTGTCTCAGGTTTGTGCCTCAGATATGTGTCTCAGATTGTGTGTCTCAAGTGCGTGTCTCAGGTGTGTGCCTCAGGTTGTATGTCTCAGGTGCGTGTCTCAGATTGTGTGCCTCAAGTGTGTGTCTCAGGTTCGTGCTTCAGGTGTGTGTCTCAGATTAGGTGCCTCAGGTGCGTGTCTCAGGTGCATGTTTCGGGTTGTATGTCTCAGGTGTGTGTCCCAGGTATGTGTCTCAGGTTGTGTGTCTCAGGTATGGGTCTCTGGTGCCTGTCTCAGGTAGGTGCCTCAGGTTGGGTATCCAAGGTGGGTTTCTCAGGTTGGGTGTCTCAGATTGTGTCTCAGCAGGGTATGTGTCTCTGGTGGGTGAACACAAACAAGAAGCAAACTGAGACACAGACCACCTTGTCAAGGGCAGAGGGGCCCTCGGGGCTGCCTCTGTCGTGGTGTACAAGGTCTTGGGAAGCTTGGTGGCCCCAGGGGAGGCTGTGGGGGCTTATGTGGGGGCACATTTTTTAGGGGTGAGACTCACTCATTTTTTAGAGTCTGAGACTCACACCAGGTTCTTAAAAGGGTCATGACACAACTAAGTTTAGGAACCACAAATATGTGTAAATATGTATTTATAACAATTGTTTACCATAGACTCCAGAAGTTGGTTTTTAGAAGTTTGCCCATGTAGAATATTTCATTTCTTACTCCTTGCTATTAAATAAATAGTTGGGGAAGGTGTCAGCCAATCTCTGTTGGTGCTGTCGTGGCACTCTGGGCCATGTGGTCATTGGTTACTCACAAGGATTTCTTCCCTCACCTCCAAAGGCACAGTTGGGATTTTTTAGTTACATGAAAAGGGAGGCTCAATGCACAAACTATATGTATTTGGGGGGGGAGGGGTTGGTTCCTTTAGAAAGAGGGAAAACATGGGGTGGGGGAGGTCCTTCAGTGTGTATTCCTCTGTGCAATTTATGTTAGAAAGTGCAGAGACTGGGATTTCCAGAAGTTTCTTCCATTGGCTCTGAAAGGTGTGACACTACTACTTAGAGAAGTCAGAGAAGTGGTGGGAGTGACAAGGTGTGGAGCTGTATCCTGCTCGACTTGCTATGGTTCTCTGTGTTTGTCTATCCCTATACCTGCATTAGCCCAGGAACCTGCCCTATACCCCCTGGGGTAGAAACCATGCATTTGTATAATGAGACTGAGCCATCCTTATATAAGGCACTTACATAAGGTGCCACATTTTTTGTTCAGTGTGATTTTTTAATATAGCTGGAGATGACAGTTTCTAAGTACACATTGGAAACTTATAAAGCATCCTGTACTGAATGTTGACACTTGAGAAAATGAGGTATTTTCAGATTTTTTTATTTCTTTTTTTTTTTTTTTTTTT